AATTATGTTAATTGTTGTGACTGAATTTATGAAAAAAAAAAAAAGAAGAAGGAAAAAAAAAAGATGTGATGTTTAGCAAGCCAGATTTAAAAAAACTTTGGGCTGGATTTTGGCCCACTGGTCGTAGTTTGTACAAATCACAGAACATCCCTTAGGTCAGGCCTGCACAACTCAAAATGTAAGGCGGGCCGTAATACTTTATGAAAATCGTGTGCGGGCCAAAAGAAAATAAGACAGGACTTGTGTGGGCCCAAAGAAAATAGGTCAAGGGGAAAGCTATTAAGAAAATAATAAGAATAAAGATTATTTCGTTACTTCGTGGGCCACAAAATGGGTGCTGGCGGGCCGCATGTGGCCCGCGCGCCGTATGTTGTGCATTGTGCATATCTGCCTTAGGTCAATTGAATGCCAATTAGTGTGTTTTCATCCTTCCTTTCTTTGGCTGTAATGGAACCGTTTGGGTGTGTATGAATGGTACCAGTCAGGTGTGTATGGGTGGTACCGGTTCTGTGTGCATGAATGGTACTGATTTGATGTGCGTGAGTGGCACCTTTTTCCGTGTGTATGAATGATACCAGTTAGGTGGGTATGGTTGATACCGTTTAGGTGGGTATGATTGATACCGGTTAGGTCGGTATGGTTGATACCAGTTACGTGGGTATGAATGATACAGGTAAGGTGGGTATAGTTGAGACCGGTTAGGTGGGTATGGTTGATACTGGTTAAGTGTGTATGAATGATACAGGTTATGTTGGTATGGTTGATACAGGTTAGGTGAGTATGGTTGATACCGGTTTGCTGGGTATGGTTGATACAGTTTAGGTGGGTATGGTTGATTTCGTTTAGGTGGGTATGGTTGATTTCATTTAGGTGGGTATGGTTGATTTTGGTTAGGTTGGCATGGTTAATACCATTTAGGTTGTATGGTTGAAACCGGTTACGTGGATATGAATGATACCGGTTAGGTGGGTATGAATGATGCCGGTTAGGTGGGTATGATTGATACCGGTTAAGTGGATATGAATGATACCGGTTAGTTGGGTATGAATTATACCGGTTAGATGGGTATGAATGATACCGGTTAGGTGGGTATGAATGATACCGGTTAGGTGGTAATGATGATACTGGTTAGGTGGGTATGAATGATACCGGTTAGGTGGGTATGAATGATATTGGTTAGGCTGGTATGGTTGATATCGGTTAGGTGGGCATGACATAATATTCTCCCTGGCATGACACCGCTGTTCTGGACGTGTAACTATGTACCTGTAAACAGAGATATTTACAGTTATTGCCCTTTGTTCAATATAACTAGACGGAATCTAAGACTTCAGCTGACATTGGTGTAGTTAGTGGCATAGCTAGGGTTAGGCGCAGCCTTAGTCTTAGCCCTAATATTTGTGTAGTTAGGGCATAGCTAGGGTTAGGCGCAGCCTTAGTCTTAGCACTGATATTGGTGTAGTTAGTGGCATAGCTAGGGTAAGGCGCAGCCTTAGTCTTAGCCCTGATAGTGGTGTAGTTAGTGGCATAGCTAGGGTTAGGCGCAGCCTTAGTCTTAGCCCTGATACTGATGTAGTTAGTAGCGTAGCTAGGGTAAGGCGCAGCCTTAGTCTTAGCCCTGATACTGATGTAGTTAGTGGCGTAGCTAGGGTTAGACGCAGCCTTAGCTCTATTATCGGTGTACTGAGTGGCGTAGCTAGGGTTAGATATTACCTCCCACTTCCTAAAAAAAAAGAAAAACATAAACGGTAGCCGAAAATGCCGACCCTCAATATCAATTTTAAAAAGGGCCACACAGGGTGGACCACCAGCACCCCCCCCCCACCCCCCCCTCTTAGTTTGTACACCTGTCCTGTCCCTGTATGCCTCCGCTCTTTTTCCGATTCAGAGCCGAAAATGCCGACCCTCAATATCAATTTTAAAAAGGGCCACACAGGGTGGACCACCAGCACCCCCCCCCCACGCCTCCCTCTTAGGATGTACAACTGTACTGTCCCTGTATGGCTCCGCTCTTTTTCCGATTACGACGTAGGAGGTGGCTATGGAGCACGCGTTACGATGCATGTTACGAATGCAACTTTCATTGTGTATGAAAGGCGATTGTCCATACAGTTAGAATACCGTTTCTCGACCGGACCCGAGGTTTACACGACACTATCATAAACTAAGGGTATTTAAATATGCGATGGCACAGGTCGCATACCCTAAAGGCAGGGGTTGCCCAAGGGATGGCGACCCACAGGTTGAGGACCGTTGATTTAAAGTATCTACGATTACTCAATACTTTTTTTTTTTTTGCTGATCTAAACAAATTTTGACCACGAATGACTTGATTTTTTTATTTTATAGCATATATTCGGCAAGATATCAACTTTTCCCGTACGAATCACAGCGTAACGGATTGGAGATATTTTTACGAAGATAAGTCGTGATTGTATTGCATGATGGATGCTAAGAACTTCCATGTTTTCCAAGGTCTCTTTTTTTTTTTTTTTTTTTTTTTTTTTTTGGTTTTTTTTTTTTTTTTTTTTTTTTTTTTTTTTTTTTTTTTTTTTTTTTTTTTTTTTTTTTTTTTTTTTTTTTTGGTGTTTTTTTTTTTTTATGTGGCTTTTACAGCTTCTGAAAATCACGAGGGGAAAAAATGTGTTCATATTCCCTGATAATAATATAAGTAGCTTATAGGAAATTTGGTGGCATTTGGTTTCATTCAGCGGGAATGGGAAGAGTTCAAGAGAGGTGGAGAGAATGGAAAGAGGAGGAGGCTGAGAGGCGGGTGACAAGCAGGCATCTGATGACGTCAATACCGACCGGCCGAGTGCAAACGGACCAATCGGGACAGCGCTTGCATTCGACGACGGAGCACTACTTGCGTCATTAGAAGTAAATCGAATTCGAACTGTAACATTCTCGCGAGTTTCCTCCATTGATTGTTGTCTTCTGATGGAATCTCTCTATCTCCCTGCATCCTTCCCTCTCTCTCTCTCTCTCTCTCTATCTCTTCCCTCCCCCGCCCCCCCCCCCTTTATATCACATGTGTCAGTGGGTCAGTAGAGTTTGATGATTCACAGGAATAAATGGATCTGCAAGGTTTCTAATGGCATGTTGAAGAAGGGCTGGGGAAAAAGGGGGGGGGGGGATACTTGCAAAGAGCGCAGGCTTGGGGTGTGAATGTAGAAGTGGTTTCTGTTTGTTGGCTGTTGTAACCGTGAACTGAACCTATTAGCCATACCTTTGTTATTTTGGAAATGAAAGGTGGCCCCCAACAGCTTACTTAGCCAGGTCGTATCGGGACTTAACGTAAGACCTGTGTGATTCCGTCGGCTTATAAAAAAAACAAAAACAACTGTCAACAACATAAAACGTAACAATCCCAGCTTACGTTCTCAGTGCTCACGTTTACTTTAGTATCAAGTCCTGTCGGTATTTAAACATAACCATGGCCCACGGCCTATCAATGATCAATTTTTAAAAAATGGTTTTGTCCAATGACGTACATGTTTGAAAATGTCAGGTACTTTGCGTTGGCTTAGCTACGGTCTGTGCCGCCTGGGTCAAGTCAAGCTCTTTTGCCTCACCGCTTCCACAGGAAGGAGAAAAAACAAGAAATAGGCATACAAAAAATGCTGCCCCTCCATATAAAGAAAAGAAAATCCCCCCACCCAGGGCGGACCGCCTCCCCCTCGTCCACCCTGACGTCCTACGTCACTGCCTCTTAGTGGAATTGGTCTTTATCTTCACGTGCAGTGACGTATAAATAAAAAATCGAATATTTTTTTTGTTTACGTTTTTGATTCAACATTTAGCGGGTGTGAGCGTGAATGTGACATTCAGTATGTCGCTGCCGTGATCTTCAATGTGACATTTCAACGTTTAGCTGCTTTGACCTTCAATGTGACATTCAAACATTTAGCGCGTTTTCTTCTTAGTGTTAAATTCAAGTTTGAGCTGTGATCATCTTTAAATATTAGATTCAAAATTCAGTAGCTCGCATGTGACACTCAACAGTAAGCTGTGGTCATCTTTAAATATCAGATTCAAAATTCAGTAGATCGCATGTGACACTCAACAGTAAGCTGTGGTCATCTTTAAATATCAGATTCAAAATTCAGTAGATCGCATGTGACACTCAACAGTAAGCTGTGGTCATCTTTAAATATCAGATTCAAAATTCAGTAGATCGCATGTGACACTCAACAGTAAGCTGTGATCATCTTTAAATATTAGATTCAAAATTCAGTAGATCGCATGTGACACTCAACAGTAAGCTGTGATCATCTTTAAATATTAGATTCAAAATTCAGTGGATCGCATGTGACACTCAACAGTAAGCTGTGTGTTATCTTCAATGCTAGATTCAATGTCGCTGCCGTGTATTGAACTTTTATTTTAATTAAACATGTAAATATTACGAACTTTGATGAACCATAATGATCATTGGTAATCAGGGCCGAGTAAAGGGGGTGGCTGTCCCGGGCGTCAGGCTCAGATGTGAAGGGGGGGGGGGTTGTAAATGTAATTTATCCAT